TGTGTGGGACCCCTCCCCTGCAATCCAGGCTGCAGGGACAGCCATGGAAGCAAAGGAAACTGCTCCATGTGGGAAGAGCTGCCAGGTGCAGGGCTGAGGAGCCGCGGGGCAGGGCGTGCACATCCTCCTGACTCACTGCGAGCAGTGGGTGGGGAAGGGTTAAGGCAGGAGCTGCACAACAGCCCCGTGCAGGTGTGTACCTGGCACAGGTATGTACGTGGCAGATCGAATCATGATCAAACCTCAGCAGAACTGTGCARATACCGACACACACTGACCCTTCTRCAGGTGGCTTTTCCTGACYGATTCTTTCAGTTAAAGCTGGTGCAGCTGGAGGAGAAGCTCAGGTTTGTGAGGGACCCTCAGCAGGGCAGAAAGAGCCTCAGCAGCAGGATGGTGACAGCCTTTAGGGATTGTCCTGGGGCATTCCTGCTGTTAACTCCTCTACCACACACACTGCCATTAGCAGAGGTCACCTCCYTGTCAGGACCAAAGGATTTAAACATTTTTCTCTCTTCACTGACCCTGTGACCTGTGGGTATCACTTCACCTTAGCTCTGACACGTCCAGAGCGTCTCTGAGCACCTTGTTCTGCTGGAAGGGCGTGGAATAAAATGAGCTTTAAGGTCCCTTCYAATCCAAACCACCCYGTGCCTATGAATCCTGTGYCTCCCTGTGCTCTTTAGGGAATAAGAGCTCTGGARAGGTCTGCATGGGGTTCCTCAAAGCAAGCAAGTGTGTCTTGTGGAGTTAAARCCACCTCCAGGCCCTCTGCTCTGGCTCTGTTGGCCCTTGCTGCTCCAGTCCCTGCTCCCAGCTGCTGCTGGAGCACTGGGAGCTCAGCAGGGAATGGTTTTTCATGTAGAGACTGAAAAAATCCTCCCCTGCACACCTACATCAACAGGACTCGGTTCAGCACTGCTGTCTCCAGCAACACGCTGATCCCGGGACARATCCTGCCAGCAGCGGCGAGATAAACTGCAGTGCAAGCCTGATTTATCATCTCTGCGCTCAGCAATTATTTTTTAATTGAAAATGCAAGTCTGAGGGTGCTCACGCCTCTCCCCCGAGTGCCTCATCCGTGTCCCACACCAGTGCTGAACTCGGATCACCTGCTAATCCCTCGTACGCAGCATCATTAAAGATTTGCTTTTCATTTCTTCTCTCCCTCGGGTGGGGGCTGAGAGCAGCAGCCAGCCCGGCTGGTTCTGGGCACCAATTCCCCCAATTCCCCCAGCACTCACCAGGGGCAGGAAGGTCAGCAGCGGCCGCACCCTCGGACGGGGTTTCAGCGTTGCTGTGCCGGGATCTGTCACCGTCCCAAAGCGATTGTCACCGTAATACACCTCGATCACATCACCTGAGGGGAGAGAGACTGTTAACAGCAGCACTCAGATGGACAATGGGGCATTTTAAAAAAAACACCGTGGAGAATCTGCTGCAATGGGTAAAATCCAGCAGATGATGAGGAAAAGCTGCTTTTGGAGCTGAGTTCAAACAGGGAGAGAAAGGTCCCATGTGAGCAGGACAGGCACTCCTAACCCTGTCACACCCTGCAGAGCATGGAGAGCCTTCCAGAGCTCTGGGTGATGGGACTGAAGGAGCTCAGAGTGAGCAGGATCTGATCCTGAATTGAGGGGGGACAGCAGCAGAGGTGTCAGGATGTGTCAGAGGTGAAGGACAGCTGCTGCCCTTCCTCTCCTGCCAAGCCCTCGGAGGCAGAGAGAACTCCCAATGCTTCAAAGAACCTCCAACACCAGCCTGCTTGGTGGAGAAATGCTCCAGGTAGCTTCCCCAAAATGCTGCTGTGGATGGAGGGACACACCAGAGCAGGAAATCCCAGAGCCCTGGTGTGACACACAGAAGCCATCAGGAATTCCTGGTTCCCAGCCTTGTGCTTTCCCCTTGAACCACACCTCTTGGGCCAGTTTATTTCTGACAGCGAATAAAGCTCGTAAAATTAATTTAATTACATTCTTTGTGTCTGATTAGCAGCATGAATTAACAAGCAGAAATWCTGAAGCACGTAAACCCCACCTTGGCTGGAAGGAGATACACAAATCACTCGTAGCCAAGGAGACCGACATTAAAGAAAATCCCAGGGTTTGAGGAACAAAATGGCTGTGATTGAGGGGACACTGAGGAGTATTCCCACCACGAGATTCCAACAGCGAGGAAAGCAGGAGAAGGAGGAAATGTCCAGCCCAAAATGCAGTCACCAAGAAGTAAACAGCTTTCTTTTTTTTTCCCCTTCCCTAAAAAGTCGGGGAGCACAGACCTCAAAGCTGAGCCCCTGCTGAAGCTGAGGCACAGAAATGGGTCCTGTCCAATTTGGGAAAGCTGAGGGCTGTGTGAGCTCTGCATTTCCAAGCTCCCTAAAGCTGAAAGCAGAGCTCTCCAAAGCAGAGCTGTGCCCCAGAGTCCCCCTGACTGAGACTGTGCCACAGCCACTGCCACCACCCCAGCCGTGTCCCCACTCCCTCTGCGTGTCCCTGCGTGTCCCTGTCCCCCTTGGTGGCCAGGGGCTCGTCCATGCTGGTGATCACACCCTGCTCTGGCTGTGCTGGTCACCAAGTCCCCTTGGAAGGGCAGAAATCAGGAGGGAGCCGCCAAGGAAGCAGCGTGACACGGAGTTTGGTGAAGAAGAAAAGGGCAAAAGCTTCTGTGTGCGTCGCACAGAAGGAAAACACCTGCATGAACACCTGGAATGAAGAACCTGACCACACCAGGGGCTGGGCATGAGGCAGCACAGCCTCTGCTCGAGCTTTGAAGGCAGATGAATTCCACAYAACCTTGAAACACYCCACTGAGTCCAGAATCACGTAAGCGTTTCCCTTCTGCCACCCASTGCCCCAMAAGTGACCCWGGGACACCCCCAATGCCATCACTGTCCCCACAGGCAATAATAAGAATACCAAAATTCTTTACACAAAGGACATTTCYTTCAGCTTTCAAATCACCAGGCAAGCTGGGCTTTAGTCCTCCTGCTCCTACCAAGACTTRAACCCTTCCTAGGCTGGGAGGGGCCCAAGCAGACAGGAGGAGCAGCCTGGAARTGTTCAAGGCCAGGTCTGGGATGGGACTTGGAGCAACCTGACCTAGTGGAAAATGTCCCTGCCCATGCCAGGGAGTGGATTGAGATGTTTTAAGGTGCCTTTCCACCCAAACCACCCTGTGACTCTGTGGTGATTAATTTTGTGGGTGACCCCGCATKCAGTGAGTAAGGAGCAGGAATTAAGGCCAAGGTAACAGAAGAGTYTGGACTCAGACAGCCTGAGCAGCGACAGAGCAGCTCCGAGACTTGAAATGACGAGTTTTACATTTAACAAGTCACTATGTAAACCCAGTGAGAAAACTGGATTAAAGATCACAAGCACTTTGATCCTAGATTACTAAGCATCGCTAGCCTGAATGCTTTAATTAAAGTAAAATGAAGTGCTTGTAGTTGTGTTTTCTTTGCTAGATAAACAGGACTTGCCTGCTGGGAGCYCTGAGCTCTGCCAGCCTCTTTTCCTGGAAGGAAAATCAGGAAATGCACCCTTGGAAGCAGCTGGCTCAAGGGACTGGCCTTGCTTCGGCCACTTTTTGACATTCAGCCTGTCCTGGAGACATTTGTGTTTGCTCAGCCATGGGAAATTAAATAAACCATTTGCCACGCATGTAATGGAACTTCTTCCTCGGCGGGGGTTGCATCACCTGGAGGAGGTGTGGCAGTTTTGAGCGGGGTGTCCACGGCTCCCAGGAGGAGGAGGAGGAGGAGGAGGAGGCATCAGTGACTATATTCAGGAATCTCTGAGTCAGGGGCATGCAAACCTACACCCAGGGCACATTGCTTAACGTCTGTTTACTTTGTGTGAGGAGGAACCAAGGTGGGGATCAGCAGGAG